TTTTTGCGCCATTCTGCCATAGATTAAAAATTTTGTAATGCACTACTTGACTCATCTTCCGCACTGCATAACTGACCGCTTGCATGCAGAATTTCAAATTCTTCTATGCAGTAGTTGTCGACATATGGATACTTTTTTGACAGAACCAAGCTTTGCCTAAGCCAAGCTTTGACCAGCCCAAAGGAACACTACCCAATTAAATCACTGCATATTACATAATGTAGCAGCGCAACAGACATGAAAGTCAGTTAATTGGTAGCGACACACCTGACTACACAGTTCTCCATTCACAAATCTTATATGAGATCGGAGTTTTTTGAAAAAAGAACGCATTTTTAATTAGGTATACCTTAATTCGAAACTGAAATATTCCATATTAAATGTCAAGTCTGTATATACCTTGGAGGTGTGTGTTTGTGTGTGTGTGTGTGTGTGTGTGTGTGTGTGTGTGTGAATAATGACATTAGTGCTAAGAGTCTATGCTTTTGTCATCATTGCTTAAAAGATAAGGAAAATCAACCGTTAGAAAACGTCAAGATACAAAAACGGAGGGTAGAACTCAGTGTATCTGTTAATTACTACCTTTTAAAAGATACATATTTCATTTGATATAAAAGACAAAAAATGGTTATTGAAATTCTAAACAATCAATTCTGTAAACGTATTTTGTCTTTCTGAGGTAACCTGTTTGTACATGTAATATTTGTTTCTTTGCCTTTAAACCATGTTCAGTATTTTACCATTTATATATTTTTTTTCTTATATCAGCTCATCTGCCTTTGATTGGGCCTGCAAAAAGTCGAGAGCTGCAAAAGCCTTTGAAAGCTAGCAGTGCCTTGAAATACTTGGGTAAACCCAGTCAAGCATCCGTGTTAAATGTGAAATATGAAACAATTAAACACCCCAGTGTCGACACCAGGAAGTCACTAGTAAACTCCAAAAACGATTTCATAATCGTTACAGCTTCAGACAAAGACAGCTTCAATTCACTCTCAAATCTGGTGGGTTCCATCCACTTTTGGGAGCCAAAGACAAAAATAATCATTTACGACATTGGATTGGATGAAAAACAGCGGCACCAGATCCGGAAGTGGTGCATGACGTCACTGGTGTCCTTCGATTTCTCCAGGTACCCAAAACATGTGAAATCTCTGAAACAGCGAGTGGTAAAACCCATCATTCTAAAAGAAGTCTTGGAAACCCACCACCGCGTTGTTTGGATGGACCCCGAGGCTGATGTGCGGGGATCACTAACCGTGATCAGGGAGCACCTGGAAAAAGACTTGAATTTCTTTCTACTGGACCAAGACAAAGACATGAGAAAGCGTTCCCACAAGGGGACGTTCAAATATTTCCATAAGAAGAAGAAGGCATTCAAAGCCAAATCCTCTTTCTCTGAGCTCGTGAGCGGATGGGTGAAAGGGAGCGAGGCTCACCGGAAGATTCTTCTCACGTGGGAGAGGTGTGCACGTGACATCAACTGCGTGGCGCCCCCTGGGTCCAATGCACGAAACCACCGCTACACGCAAACCGCGTTGTCAATTTTGACTTACTCCTCGCGCATGCGCATCACCACGCATAACAGCCTCGTTGCCGTGCAGCGCTACCAGCTAGACCGTAACCCCAGAAACAGCAGTAGGCGGATTATTAATCTCGGGAGACAGAAGAGCAAAGATTATATTACCATGATTTGCAGGAAAAATGAAACGACTTGATCGAGATAGTTGCCATCGCTTTCGTATCAGTGAATGTGGCAACAGGATTAACAGGTGAAATAGTGAAAAATGGCGATATGTTTTTTCGCTCCTTAATTCCCATTCATTCTTTAAGGAGACGATAAGAATTTCACATATCATCATACAATTCTTTGTAGTGACCGCTTATGAGACGCTATGCAATATTTCATGTGACTATAAATTGTTATTATATTATGGTTTCTATTCAGAATATACACTAACCGAGCAAAAGAAAAAAAAAAAAAAAAAAAAAAAAAGCACCAGTATGCATGAGCACTATTATTCGGCTATTCTATGCAATATGATATAAGCAACATTAGATTGGAATGGCTTGCGAGAATATGACAAAATAACTATAACAGCGCTTTGTTGTTGTTATTATTCTTCTTCTTATTATTATTATTATTTCCTCGCGGAAAATTTCTTGTAGCAGTCCAATAATAGGAATTTGTTTAAAAATCCTGTGGGATGTCCTTAACTGTCCTATAGGACCCTTTTGGAAATTTGCCAAAGATGCTACAGTGATAGGATCCTTTAGGACATATGTCATAGCCAGCAAGTCTCTTGGATGTATTATGGACTGTCCAATATACACAGGGCCGTAGCCAGTAATTTCAAATGGGGGTTCGTTTTCTGAAAAAGTGGACCTTTTACCATTAAACCTTCATGTACCTAGATCAAATTTTATCCAAAGAGGACCTTTTTCCAGCAAAAAGGGCGGTTCTTTCGAACCCCCGAACCCCCCCCCCCGGCTACGGGCCTGATACACGTACTACTGCTGGGGTAGTCCTTTAGGCTGTCTATATTGTCCCTTACAGTTACAGTATACATGCACAAATAACTCCTGTAATTTTTGTATATTCTGCTGATCTGTTACAAGTGCACGCTTTCTATTCTTATACACGGAGTTAACAAACGTATGCTTTTCTATTTATTCATATATTTCTAACATATCATGTCATTCATAAGAGGAGGTAATGTTTTTATTCCCGCTAGTCTGAAACCATTTGTTTTTTTTTATGAATAGGTGGAATCCATGACTGTTCAGGAAAGAGACATCAGTTAAAAATCAAATTCGCTATTTTCAAAACAAAAACGCTGCTCTTGCGTCATCAGTTCGAATTAGCGATGTATGTTTGACGTGACATCATTATCCCATTATTATTTCTGCCTTATCTAAGCGGGTAAAGAAACAGATCCCCCTTAAGACAAACACGCGCGCTAGAGAGCGAGCGTATATTTATAAAGAGAAGTAGAATAATACATATTGATCACGTATTGTCCCCCCAAACAAGTACCATACGGGGCAGGGTTGGGAGACCATGCGGCCTTTTGATAAGGGGAATTTCCGGCGGCACTGTACAAGACATTCGAACACACATAAACACACACACACGCACTCGCAATTTACACTCATTTATACTAGTACATACACACACACACACACGCAAACCCTCCTACACAAGCTCAAACGCAAGAGGGTAATTACACAGTTTAATAAATTCAGAATGGAAGGTGATTCTAGCTCTGTTAAGCTTGATAACTGTTGTACAAAATTGTTTTTAGTGATTTGAGAAGATGTGCAGTTGTTTTCATCAATTTCCTTTTCCTACTCTAAGTTCTAGATTTCGATATTGCCAGCTCGATCTTGATTTCATATATAACCCTCCTCAGCTATGTAAAACTACCACATGAAAAGGTATAGTAAGCAAGCTGCTGTAGCTTTTCCTTTTCCTTTCACCTGTTCAGAATTACATTGACAAAACCAGCCGTTGTTTACGTGTAATTAGAATGTTCACTTTGCGTTACTTTTTTTTACTTCATTCATCATTCTTTGTGGTATATTATTATGATATGTAGTGTATGAATTAATTTCGGTTTCATTATGCAATGCAACCAGTATATCTCTGTCACGTAACGTGCTGTGCGTAGCTAAAATGTTTTTTTTTTTTTTTTTTTTTTTTTTGTGACTGAGGAAGAGATAAAGGAGTGTTTGGCGTTAATGATGACAAGATTGATCTCAAAGAGCTGGAACCAGGTCCTGGTTGCAGCAACGGGTGTTATTTTTAACAACAAATGTGATATTATAATTGACAAAGTGTGTGAATCATCTAATTTTAGTTTGCAATGACTATCTACGACCCTTCACCGTATTGACAGTAAACAGAGCTTCTCATTCATACCTTTGTCACTTCTTGGCTAAAGTACCGTCTGTTGTCGGGAATACCTCACTATTAAATGAAAAAAAAATTAAAATTAAGCCATACGTCTCCTCCGTAGAACAAGTCCTATCCCATCATAACAGTTCTCCACTAGCTACATTGTATCTCAATAAATGGCCCATAAGATATTACTCCTTGATTTTAAATGATATGTAAACACAGTTTATTTAAAGAAAAATTTGATTAACTTGTGTCATAAAGTCGTAATTACTTTTCTATTTGATTTTTTAAATTAACCTGTGTGGGTTTAATATCAAAACGGCAAAGAATGTAAAACTTAGACATACATTCTGTATTACCGCAGCATTTTAACGTTGTGAACTGGTGGAAGCGTCCATTCAACCCGTTCACACATCTAGAAAAGGCCATTTGACTTACAACAGGTGATGCACTGAAAGAATAAAGGGTACTGCCATAAAAGAGGACGGAACTAAGGAAGACAGGCCGAAAGAATTAAGAAAGCAAGGCTTAAATTTGCTTTCGTGACTGATCGGCAACTCTGGCAATCTTGTGAACCTTTGACTTTTAACTCAAAGTTATGGTGACGGCAGAGTGAAATTTCACACAAATTTTGTTACCTTTAAAGCGAGTTTACAATAGCCTTCACACCCATATAACTGCCAGGACAGAAACATAAATACAACTGTTTCCGAGAAAGTCTGAATCGCCCAGATATAAATGATGTTTATTTCGAAAGCGTATCTTTGGTTTTGTAAACGCTTTTAACAATGCTGGCAACTTTGTAATGAAAAAATTATTTTATCTACTTTGCACGGGAATACAGTGTAGGATGCGTGGAAAAAGATGATGAAAGGTTTGGGTAGCTGTTTCATACTATATATAGATTGCTGATACTGTTTTTACAGAGCTGTGATCAATACTGGTGTTTAAAGTTAATTAAAAATATTTAAAACTACTTTACTGGATGGTGCAATGGGGATTGAATGGAGAAAGATGATGAAATGTTGAATATTTTTGTGAAATGTTGTTTTCATCAATTTCCTTTTCCTACTCTCAGTTCTAGATTTCGATATTGCCAGCTCGGTCTTGATTTCTTATATAACCCACATCACCACTGTAAAGCTACCACACGAAAAGGTATAGTGAGCAAGCTAGCTCTATAAATGCCCCGACACTCAGGGTACACTTTCTTTTCACCTGTTCAGAATTACATTAACAAAACCAGCCGTTGTTTACGTGTAATTAGAATGTTCACTTTGCGTTACTTTTTTTTTACTTCATTCATCATTCTTTGTGGTATATTATTATGATATGTAGTGTATGAATTAATTTCGGTTTCATTATGCAATGCAACCAGTATATTTCTGTCACGTAACGTGCTGTGCGTAGCTAAAATATATATTTTTTTTTGTGACTGAGGAAGAGATAAAGGAGTGTTTGGCGTTAATGATGACAAGATTGATCTCAAAGAGTTGAATCCAGGTCCCGGTTGCAGCAACGGGTGTTATTTTTTAACAACAAATGTGATATTATAATTAACAAAGAGTGTGAATCATCTAATTTTAGTCTGTGACGGCTATCTGCGACCTTTTACCGTACTGACAGCAAGCAAACAAAGTTTCTCATTCATGCATTTGTCACTTCTTGGTTAAATTACCGTTAGTTGTCGGGGATACCTCAATATTCAGGCCTGTAGCCAGCAATTTCAAATGGGGGGTTCGTTTTCTGAAAAAGTGGACCTTTTACTTAAAAACTTTCATGTACCTAGATCAAATTTTATCCAAAGTGGACCTTTTTCCAGCAAAAAGGGCGGTTCTTTCGAACCTTCCGAACCCCCCTTGGCTAGGGGCCTGCTATTAAAAAAAAAAAAAAAAAACTATTCAAAACTCAGCCATACGTCTCCTCCGTAGAACAAGTCCTATCCCATCATAACAGTTCTCCACTAGCTACAGGTACATGTACGGTGTATCTCAATGAATGGTCCATAAGATATTACTCCTTGATTTTAAATGATGTGTAAACACAGTATATTTAAAGAAAAATTGATTGACTTATGTAATTAAGTCTTAATTATATCTTATCTTTTTAAATTAACCTGTGTGGTTTTAATATCAAAACGGCAAAGAATGTAAAACTGAGACATACATGTACCAGGTATTACCGCAGTATTTTAACATTGTGAACTGGTGAAAGCGTCCATTCAACCCGTTCACACATCTAGAAAAGGCCATTTGGTTTACAACAGGTGATGCACTGAAATAATAAAGAGTACTGCCATAAAAGAATTTAAGAAAAAAGGCTTAAATTTGCTGTCGTGACTGATCGGCAACTCTGGCAATCTTGTGAACCTTTAAAGCGAGTTTACAAATAGCCTTCACATCCATATAACTGCCAGGATAGAAACATAAATACAACTGTTTCCGAGAAAGTCTGAATCGCCCAGACATAAATGGTTTTTATTTCGAAAGCGTATTTTTGCTTTTGTAAACGCTTTGAGCAATGCTGGCAAGTTTTTAATGCTAAAATTAATTATATCTACTTTGCACGGGAATACAGTGTAGGATGCGTGGAAAAAGATGATGAAAGGTTTGGGTAGCTGTTTCATACTATATATAGATTGCTGATACTGTTTTTACAGAGTTGTGAACAATACTGGTGTTCTTGATTAAAAAGTATTTTAATCTAATTAACTTGATGGTGCGATGGGGATTGAATGGAGAAAGATGATGAAATGTTGAATATTTTTGTGAAAATGAAAATGCAAAATAGATCAGTCAGCCAGCTAATCAGGAGTGCTCGTCTATCATGCTTAATTTGTATCATATGAAACCAATGTGGTTTGGATACTGTTGAGAACAGAGGCTGAGAAAGCTAGGACATAAAATATTGGGCACAACACAAACACAAATTTATTATAAAATGTGTTTTATTATTATTAATCTTCGCTATTGGAGCAAAAATTGAATTTCAGTTGAAGGTATTTCACTACTCTCCCCTCAGCGGTGAAGGATTCCGTATTAGATTTTAAGTCTTAAAACTCCCAGCTCACGGTGACTGAGCCAGTTAAATTGGATGAACAAAAAGAAGCGCATTTTTATTGATCCAAATAGAGATGGCATTGTACAGTTAATCGGGTCGCACAAAAAGTAAACAAGGGTCCGCTAACAGTCAGACGA